TTACCTACATATTGTTAATTATTGAATCTGATAGTTTACATGATAAACACCATAAGACAACGTGAATTTGGAATGACTATTTGAAATGACTACAATTTTAATCATCTATATTAATAAAAGTGGACTATGATACTGCATGGAACTTCTTCATAAAACAGGAGGACAATTCAAAAAGTGTACATGATAATCACCATCAGAATTTGGAATTATTAAAAAATGACCACAATTTTAATCATCCATATTAATAGTAGTAAATTATGGAACTACTTTATAAAACAGGAGAACGATTTCAAGAGTTTATCATGTTTGGATCTGATAGTTTATATGATGACCACTATATGAATTTGAAACTATTTACACATGGATACAATTTTAATCATTTATATTATTACGAGAAAACAATGGTATTGTATGGAACAGCTTCATAAAGTAGGAGAACGATTCCAAGAGTTCATCATGTTTGGATCTGATAGCTTACATGATAATCTCTATCAGAGTTTGGAACAATTTAAAAATGTCCACAATTTTTATCATCTATATTAATGGAAATAAACTATAAAAGTGCATGCATACTAAATTTAAAACAGGAGAACGATTGAAAGATTTTATCAGCGCGTTAGATAATGCTACAACATATCTTATATCTGATACTGTTGATTTTATAATCAAGTTTTTGGTTTCCAAGATATAAATGAATAAGTTTAGGAACTCGAAGGCTCCACCGATCAATATCTTGTTATGTGAGCTCAAATATTAATTGTCCGAGATACTGTGTCCATTGTTGGACTATTGTATTTTTAGTGTGATTAATATGTTAATGAATCTCTCATTGTTTATATACTTATGTATTCAAAACAATGCATTAAGAGTAGGAAAACCAACTTGGCAGTACATAAGGAATTAATATAATTATTCTACTTAAATTACTCTTGATACGATTAAGGATCGACGATTAAGTTTTAAATGTTCAAGTTTGAAGCAGATAAATAGAACAGAGCGTTGATGAAGTCGCCTGTGTCTTTTGATTTTTTTATTTTTTATTATTTGCTTTTTCAATTGGTGGTATATCAGGATGGATATACAGATTTAATAAATGAGATTGCAAATGTTTCTTAATTTAAATCTAGTTTAATTAACTATTTTACTACTCTTGCTGATTTATGTTTTTATGTCATACTAATTTTAGAATACTGTATCTTTTGAGTAAGCAGATTATACAAAATTTTATTAAAATCTTTGGACAACTTTACTTTCAGATCATTATTTTATGGAATATTAAGACAAATATCAGCAAAACTTAATTTTTGACTTTTCAATAGAATTTTATATAGAGAAATATCGATTTCCAGTACAATAGATCTATTTTTAGTTTATGATCTGTGCAATGAAATATTTTTATTAATCATAAATTAGATATTACTATCATATATTTCGAATTGTATTCACATCAATAAAAATTTTTCAAAGGCACTTAAATGGTTTGAAATCGTACCCAAGCAATCCATTTCATATACTCATCCATTTCATATTAGTAACTAAAAGTGTTAAGCTGGTTTTGCTGAAATCAAGTCTTCGATTTTTGAAATTTATTTTATATCTGTATATATATCTGTTTTAAAGTTTTCTTAAATATATATGGAAGAATATAAAGTTGTTGCCAAGATTATTATTATTTCATTATGGCATTATGGTACAATATTTGATTGAACTTACCCTATTCACAAAGTCTATGTACAAAAGTTTTCTAATTTTGTTTATTTCTAGCGATATATCTCAGTTCCCCAATCCATTTATTTGTTTCAATAATTCCAAGATAATGCATTTTAATAACAACTATATTAAGTTAATATAGTAACTTCTTAATACATATACGTCATACTTTAAGATTTTTATTTTTAATAATTAACCAAATTTTATAAATGTTACTTAATGAACTTAAACATTTTCCAGCACATCCAAAAGTATAATCAAATTTGTGCGTTGATTGCTCTAAATCGTACTCTTCAAACAGTCCAATCATTTCTTATTATTTTGTTTTGATCTATTAAATAATTTTATATTATTTTAACACTTCATATATACTCCCTGAATGCTTGTTTTAGTTTTAAAATATATAAGTTCAAATTCTAGAGATACCTCTGATATTGTGCCTTGTTAATGCATTTTTATGGTAAAGTCTGAGAAATATCTTTAATCTTCCAATTATAGCAATTTCTTGCTACCGACTCAAGGATCTACAAACTACAGTTATATTTTAAGAAAGTGCTGTCTTTTAAATGGATAAAATTCATTAACACTATAGTTCTTATCGTAGAAGACGGTATATGTATATCTTCTAATTAAGTTAAGTTTATCAAAATTACTAATAAATCCAGACTGTTAAATTAAATAAGTTACCACGATTTTTTCAAACACAGATTCTATCTTTTTCAATGCTTTGTTTCTAAACCATAAACTAATGATATCAAATAGTTTTACAAAATATGCTCAATCGAAGGTGAATCACACAATCTCTGTATATGGACATAATATAGTCATATAACGTTTAATAATTTTTTGAGTTTTTAGATAGATCCTATATCATATGACATAGTTTTGTTGAAAACAAAAGTTGGTTTAAGTACGTTATCTACTGGAAATCGTTGTTTATAGCTTTGTTTGAAGTGCTGTTGATTGAAGAAGTCTGGCTAAATTATGTTACCAGTCTATAAACAGCACCTTGGTTCTTCTTCGCGTTTTCTTTGCTCTACATTTTTTTAAAGTAATATAAATAAAAATGATATACCTATAGTAATAAGTTAGAATTTAAGTAGTTGCATAGTGTAGCTCTGTGTAAATATTTTAGATATATAAGAAATATAAAGAAATTATAAATCAAGTTTGGACGTATGTCTCTGCATTGATAATTCATTACAGATTACTTAATGAAAATATAATGTGAACTGATTATGTAGACTTATTAGTAAGTCTAACATATAGTGTGAAAGTGAAAGTAATATAGAAAAAATCGCTGTATTGCACGGTATATAGTTACTAATTTACATATTTAGTTGGTCATAACGGATGTGAATCGTTTTTGGTCGTGTCTACTAACATACACTAACCAAATTGTTCAGTGGCTTGCAGTTGCCAGTTCGTAGCACCAAGTGCCATCATATTGTTGCTCACTTGGCTATTCTACCGAAATTGTAAGACGTTATTTACAGGGTTTTTTAGCAGTGGGCACCAAATCAAAATCCTTCTAGTCAGAGAATTTTCTACCATTCGTACGATATGACTATGCCAATATCATGATATAGTTCATACAGCTCATTAGAGAAAGTTTTTCATAAGGAAAAAAAATAAAAATTATTTGTGATTTTAAAATTCGATTTAAAAATCTAAAAATTAATTTGATGTAAAAAATCATGTAAAAACTAGTAATTAATACATCATTATCCGATGTGATATATTATCTCATATCCGATGTGAGACCATCTAAACAATTGTTATGAGAGAAGAGTAATGTAGTCAAAGGATGCATACTATAAAATGCATATAAGGACGCTGATTTAAATATTTTGGGGAAAGCCTTCTTGATTTAGTAACATAAAATATATTATTAACATAAGATATAACACACCTCTCTATTTTCATACAAATTTAATCTTAAAAATTTTAAAATAGTTAAATGTAAACATTTTGTGTAAAAAATATTTTTATTTTATGATTCAAAAAAATCTATTTCAAAAATATAATTGTTATGCAAAAATTGGCAGTGTTCTGTTAACTAGTGTGTTTACATCAGATATTATTGTAATTATACTTTTGAGTGCTCTGCGATGACACAAACCCAATGTGTTCGTTCAAACAGAAGGTGCTTTGTGTGGAAGGAATTAATTCCTCTATCAAATCAGGCTATAAAAAATATGTGAATAATTGGCTTAAGCGCTGGCATCGAGTTATAGCACTCTATGGGATCTAATTTGAATGGGAAAAAATAAATTTTGTTCTAATAAACTAAATCTATAAAAATATTTAATGACGTCGTGTTGCTATAATTACAAAATAAGAGAAATATTTTCAAGTGTTTGTGTATATACATCATTTTAAAAAATTATCATTAAAAAGCTTTTAAAATATTAGCAAATTAAAATTAAAATGAAAGTTTGAAATTTTTGCACGCTTCTACTTTTTGTGAGGGTAGTCGATGTAAAATGCTTATAACTTCATACAATAATATCTTAAGACTTGAGCTATATCGGTATATAGCGTAGTGGAAAAGTTTTTGGTAAAATCTGCTAACAAATTTTCAAATCCAGGAAATAAACATCACTTCATAACAAAAGTCGAAATTATTTAATTTCATATATTATGGTTAAGTAGCAATTGTTTTATAGAAGCCATTAAGAAGACCTATGCAATAATATTGAAGGTTCCTCATTAAAATTGGGTTTGTATATGTTGAATTTCCCAAAGGAGTCGCAATAAAATAAACAAAATAAAATGGTGATGATTACTTTTAAAGTGCTATAATTTTTATCAATTAAAATTAGTTGTCTTCGAAGATATTGGCAAATACCAACGAAGTATAGGATAAAATATATCAAATAAGTACAATTTTTATTTATATAATATAAGAAGACTGGAACAGCTTACAAAAAGATATGTAGTTTTCTCAACTTGTCTAAACAACTCTATCAACATTTATCTTATTTTTTAGCAATTGATTCATCTATCTCCGGACTAAGTAATAATTTCTATATATATAATATACGCTATTTCTACTGCCCCAAGTCTAATAGGTCAAACCGTTGTCAACGCAAATTGAATATTAAATGCCACATTCAATTACAATTTTTTTTGTTTAATTTAATGTTTTCTTTGTATTTTCTTGTATTTTTAAAAATTATTATATAAATCGAATATTAAAATATATTATTTGAATAGGTAAAGTATAATCATAAAAACGACAAGGCTATTACGAAACACTTTTTGACTAACCTAAACTCGTGTTCGAATTTCTATGCAGTTTGAATTGTTTACCTGATGGTCGCGCCACATGTCGGTCTGTACCTGGACTTTCAAAAAATCAATTAGAACTTTGCTATAAGGCGAGTGACGTAGCAGTCGTAGCACTAGAAGGTCTTGACATCGCTATTAAGGAATGTCAAATACAGGTAAGTGCATTAGTTTTCTTAAAAAAAATAACATAATTTTAACAAAACTTTAACATTAAAGTATTTATTCAATATATTATAGTTCCAATGGCATCGCTGGAACTGCTCCTCGCTAAGTGTTAAAAATCGAAATCCCCATGCTTCTAATTTATTGAAAAAAGGTATATGTAATGTTAAAATATCATTTATTATAATCTTATAGAGTTCATTTAAATTTTGATATACAACGGATATAATTTAAATGTATTATCTGTATATATAACAATTAGTTTTCTCGACATTTTATTTTTATTTTCAGTACGGGGTTAATACCCTTGTATTCAGAAATATTAGAAATAGAAAGAAATGTTTTTACACAACTCAATCTTGCTTATTTATCGACGTAGTCTTCTATTAAATCGTGAACCTCTCCCAACGATGATTCAATTGTTCTTATCCTTCTCCTCCTTCTTATCTTTTTTCTCCTTGTTATATATCTAGTTTATTGCGTTCTCATAATTATTAAAAACACAATAAGATAAGAAATATTACTGATAGGTAAATCTATCAAATGATAATATTTGTCAATCAATTTAAAACACAAATCGTAAATCTTATCCATAGTAATCATGAAAGAATGCACAGGTGCATTGTCGTGTTGAAAAAACACGTCTCACAAAATGGTACGTGTTTTGGCCTTGATTACTTTCAATTTATCTAGTAAAATTGCAGAGTATGCTGTAATTTCTGGGAGATCCTTTCGCCAGTGATTGCCAACATATTCTTGTTATGATCTGTCATTCATGATTTGATGGTCAGCGCAGTCTCTTAATCTTTGGAACTCTTTCACTTACTCTAATTCATCGATTTGATTGTTCTTTAATTTAAAGTTATGAATCTGTGTAAAAAGACTACCTTGTTTCGCGTAGATTGCTCTAGCAGAGCTTAAAAAATTTTTAGGTGATTGCTTAGATAATTTTTTTATGTTCAAAACGATTTATAATATATATGAAATACAGTAAATTGAAACGCTAGTCCAGAATTGTTTTTTTTTGCTAGTCCAGAATAATTTTCATTAACTAAATAGGCATAGCTATTTCTTCAAACAGTTAACTATTCTCTTGTTTGTGAATCATAAAACAGGATTGATTTGACATAAGTCATCAAACTTTGTATATTTCTTCATTTTTCATAACAGTATAGTTTCAGCTATTTAAGTCATGGTAGGTTAATCTGTAATGGTTTCTATATCCTTCACATATTAGCATATTAATATGTAAATAATATTATATTGACATATTAATATAGTTCTTAAGAAAAAATACAATCAAAAATTCAATCAATTAATTAAAGTTTTTATTAAGTTTAACTATAAATTATTATTATTATTATCAATAGGATGTACAGATGTCTCTTTTGTTTTACATGATTTCCTGCCATCTAGGCTCAACATCACGGTGCTCTTAACACACGTATTAATTTAAGCGCCAATCAATAGGCCTCGCATCTTACCAAGGTGGAAGTTATAACTTGCATGAATTTCTTCATTGGTACCGGCGAAATAGAGCAGACTATTCCAATGGGGCGTTGATTGACACTTAAACAGGATGTACAATAGGCAACCTGAAAGATCTTTTGTGCGTTTTTTGCCCAATTAGTTCAATTCCAAACTTTGAAGACTTTTGTCACAATTGTGGGCCGTATTTTAGCTAGGTGTTCAGGACCCAAAATCCACTGCCTAGATAGTTAAGTTTGCGTTTTACCACGGCTAGGCAGACGCACAGAACGTGTTCTGCTATTTCCTGCTACTCTTGACAGAGACAGTAGGAATCGTTTTCTGCTAGACCAATCTTTTTCAGATGGTGACGCAATCTACAGTGGTTTGTTAGTAGTTTCGTGTAGAGTTTGATATCTGCTCTGCTTAAGTTGAGAACAACTTCAGCTTTTATATATTCAGGGATAGTAAGTACTTTTGACTGCCGCATGTCTTTGGGCTTACTAGGCTGGTTTTTTAACTATAAATACTATATAAATATAATTATATAATTGCTATAATTATAACAATTATAATTATTCGATTATACAATTAATTACAATTAATTCAGAGTTAAGGAAAATACCTTCAATTTACATAATCCTTACAAATTTTTAAGATGATTTCTCTGATATTAAGCAAATAATATAATGATATTAATCAAGTTTATTTTTAATCATGATACTTTTATAGGAAATATCATTCAACTAAGTTTATATTCCTTTAGGCTATCGAGAAAGCGCTTTCGCATTTGCTATATCTGCAGCTGGAGTTGCTCATAGTGTGGCTCGCGCTTGTAGTCAAGGACGTCTCATGTCTTGCGGATGTGATCCTTCAGTAAATCGTAAAGCGTTAAATAGAAATCTACGGCAGAGTCTAGAAAAGGAAAAAAAAATCTTCTTAAAATATTTGGAAATAAATCAAATTCTTACAAACAAAGAGGAAAAAAAATATGAGAGAGCCAAAGCCAAAAGTCGTTGGAAATGGGGAGGCTGTTCACATAATATGGATTTTGGTGTAGAATTTTCAAAACTCTTTCTGGATTGTAGAGAGAAAGCTGGCGATATACAATCAAAAATTAATTTACACAACAACAATGCTGGACGTATGGTAAAGAACTGAATTAAACTAAGATCTTAAGTTATTCTTACAAAATTCTAGGCTGTTTCGAGTAATATGGAGTTACGCTGCAAATGTCACGGAATGTCTGGTAGTTGTCAATTAAAGACTTGCTGGAAATCTGCACCAGTATTTCATGTAGTAGGAAAAATAATAAAACATCAGTTCCGGCGGGCAATTCTAGTCGATCAGTCAAATCTGGGTAATGGCGAACCTATTGTAGTTCTTAAGCGTTCTCCCAAATTAATAAATGCGGCAACGAGCTCTGAACAAAATAGAAAGCAACATGAACGACTATTGAGGCGTATTACTAAACTAAAATCTGCTATGCGATCAGCTCGTAAATTGAAAGCATCTCTTTTTTATTACCAAAGATCACCTGACTTTTGTGAACGTGATTTGAACGCAGATATTCAAGGTAATGCAACATCATAATTCAAGCAAAAGAACCAATAAAACTTTTTAGGTACTATAACCTTTCAATCGGTGTTTCGGTACGTGAAGCTAAGAAATTAATTTTTTCATATTTTCTTAAGTATTTTCTTTTAAAGAAAGAAAGAAATACTTAACACAAGTACCAGGGTAGAAGTGTATCAAATTATTATAAATTTTAATTATATAGATTTTTAAGAATAAGCTTTTTTTATTATAATCTTCATACGCATAATGTGAAAAAATGTATCTACATATTATTTTTGTTTACAAATTATTAATCGGATAAAATGTTGTGGAAGATATAAACCACATACTGTAACGCTTTAAGTTCTATCTGTTAGAACACCAATTTTTTTTTTATTTTATTTTCTTTTATTGCGATCTGTCACATAAGAATAGACCATTTACAATGTTTAAAATAACAATTAGTCAAATATTTTTTATGGTAATAGAACGAAATTTTATGTCAGGACCTTTTAGTAAATGGAGAGAGCTCAAGTAAATAAATAAATTGGTTGACTCGTACATTAAGTATCATTACTGTTAATTTTCTGTGAATACTTCACTGTAATAATGATCTAGCCTTATATCTCCATTTCTAACTGATGGTTTAAAAATCATTTTTGTAATACTATCGTTTTGAAACCTAAATATATGACTAAGCTGTCGTAGCTCCCGGATTTTAATATACTTAACCATGCCTATGTTGTGATCTAGCATATATGCAGTCGTCACTTAACTATGGCAGTCGTCACTCACGATCAGAGAACTATTTTAAAATATATAGGAGAAATCATTAACAGTGCTGCGTTTTTATTTTAACATTGGGTGTTAATGTCTACATTGTGCAAGGTTAAGGGATCACTTTGCTGGAAGTAAATATCAAAGGTTTTTAAAGAATCAGAATTTATATGTTGAATTATTAAAGCATTTTTTTGTTTTTTTGGCTCGACTTATTAGGAACTTATTTTTTTTTATAGGTTTAAATACTTAAAATACTTCTTTTTAGGTACCGTAGGACGTAAATGCAATCGAAGCAGCTTGGTGAGTAACGGCTGTACGTCACTTTGCTGTGGACGAGGTTATTCTTTAATAAAAGAGAGAAAAGCCGAGCGCTGTAACTGCAAATTTCATTGGTGTTGCCGGGTTGAATGCGAACAATGTCATTTGGAAGAATGGATCAGCGTCTGTAATTAATTATGAGCACAGTTATAGAGATACTTGCGATATACGATATACATTTAAATTTTAGATAATATCAATATCATAAACAAACATAAAAATAAATAACTTATATTCAATTATACCATATTAAAATATACAGTATGTAGTTCTGCTTAATACCTCCATATACATATATTATACCTACTATTATGAATATAGTTATTATGTAAATTCTAATAATATATTTTATACTTATATACATATATACAATAATATATATCTTATAATATTCATATGCATTACATGTATGTAAATTTAAATACCTTTGTGTTTTTCATACAGAACTACAAAACATAAATATTATTATATTAACTTCAGTGATATTTATATATATATATATGTATATATATATATATATATATATATATAATATAATATAGTATATATTATATTATATACATATATTACATTAAATATATATACACATATATGTATGTTTATATATATGCATAGAATTTCCATAATATTACACACATTACATATAAATTCCAAACTTTATTACAATATGTTTTTTACATACACAAATATTGATTAATCTTAAACACATATATAGATATATAGATGCGTAACTAACTGCAATAAATAATTACTGTGCATAAAATCAGATTCTATATTATTTTCACATAATATTTTCATATGTATAACTTTGACTCTAGTTAGAGCGAGTGAATAAGTGGTCTCTTACTCAAACTATGTTTTCTTTTCTTTTCCAATATTGACAATATGGTATTGCAATTTTTATGGGAAGACCAAATTATTTTTGATGAACGTTTGGCCAGTAATAGCTATTGAACGTGCTTATTAGAAATTGAATCGAGCTCTCAACATTCGAGAATATTTCGTTATTCATGCTATGACAACCACATTTGAACAATATGGAAACGTTAGATATATACAATCGGTCGAAAATATAGAACTTGTAAAATTAAATTTTACAAATAATATCAACGACTTTTAACATAAGGTAATGTTAAAAAAATAAGATAGCTAAACCATAGCTGAGAAAAATAAATTATTGAAGACCTACTTCACAAAAATATTAATACTGAAATTAGAGTTATATATCCGAATTGACAGAAATAAGCAAAACAATACTCATTATTGAAAAGTGACCGCCATTTCGCAGTTAAAGTAAACGAGGAAATACGAAATCCTTTTCAAACCTATTTTAGCGGAAGCATTCATATTAAATTCGTTGATTAGACGTCAGTGAAATCTATACAGTTAATTTTGTTAGTACTTACCAGTCAACTACTGAAATGCTTAAATGATGCTACTATTATTATTGTTAAAGGATGTGGCACCTCGACCGTCGAATATATTGTGCCTCCTTCTGGTTTAAGAGAAGTTCTTTAAGACCTGTTGCGCCAATAAAAAGTAGCATAGAACCCAATTTACAGAGTTTTATTGCCTCTTTCATAAGAATATATATTCCCATTAGCGCAGGGCATTCTAACAGCACATGTGTGGCCGACTCCTCATTCTCTTCGCAGAATCTACAGTTTGCATCCATATGTATACCCAGTCTCGTAAGGTGGTATTTTAGTTAACAGTGCTCTGTTATCGCACCTGTGATAATTCTAAGTGTTTCTTTTGATAGGTTCATACAATTCTGGATTGTGTTAATCCTGGTATATTATCCCAGTAATTCTTTTTATTCTGGTTCTCTTTTATTTTTATCAGAAAAAGAAGCGCACTATGTCCTAGTCCATAAAAAGCTTTTGGCCCCATCATCGGTGTAGCTGTTGCTTTCCTGGCTAGTTTATCCGCATATTCGTTTCCGCGTACGCCAGTATATTCTAGTATCCAAAGAATCTACACCTGATTTGGTTCCCCAAGCAGATTTATGATGCCACCATGTGGCATAAAAAATTGTGATTTAAAAATCAGGCAATATATATATTTCGTTGAGATGGGTGGTTTGTATATTCTTGAAGAGCAAACAATAGGAAAAGGTAGGTTTAGTTTAATACTTGTCGGATATCAGATTCTTTCAAGCGCATTGTATAAAAGCTTGCGGTTCTTATTAGTGCGGTTTTTATCTTGTTCAGTGTACCATAGAACGGAATTGCAACATGGAATAGACTACATCTTATATAAGTTCTACGTCGTAGTGGTGTCGTAAGAAATTAATTAGCTAATTGCATGTTCAAAGTATGTTCTAGTAGAATATTTATAAGTTCAGAACGAATTTTTGGTTAGTTTCACAGTATTCCTATTTTGGGTTAATAACCTATAGGTTTTATAATGAAATTTTACAATAAACAGGGAAAATTTTAACTGCAATTAAAGAGAAAAGAGTTAAATGTACTGGTCGAGTTCAGCAAAGGACACAACAACATGGTTATAACATCATGGTAACTCCGGATTGTCTTTGGGTTATTTTGTACTTTCATCAATTTTGTTTTATTTATTAAAGCTAATGGCTCAGAAAATAACCACTTGGACTCATGGTTTCTCATATTCATTTCACATTAATTTTAATGACATTATAAAAAGAATTTGAGTTTAGAATCATCCTCCTCCATATGAAAATTTCTACAATAATTATATTGATATTTCTTAGAAAAGTAGCAGACGTGGAACATATGTGTAGTACTAGATTAGATTAGATGAGATTTTAAGATGAGCTGGGAACTTCTTACGACGTTGCTACATCCCTTGAGGATTATTGTAAAATACCTACTTCAGTTTCATAGACGAGTAGCAGTTAAGAACGTCATTATGTCCTTTGGAGAGATGTTGCCTAATTCCGTTACAAGTGGATAGGAAGTGGATAAGTACCGAAGTCTGAGTCTGGCGAGACTATCACAGTGACACAGAGTGTGTTTTACTGTTTCCTCTTCTTCGCAACAAAGTCTGCAGCTATCGTCTCTAGTAATACCTAGGTTCGATAGGTGTTTTTTAACTTCGCAATGCCCAGTGAGAAACCCTGTGACAAGCCGGATCACATCTCTTCAGTATAAGTAGCTCTCTAGTTCTGGCTTTTGATCGATATGGCATCGATTCTTTAGCTTGTCTGCAAGCAATTGTATTATCCCAATCAGTCTGCGCTGCTCTTTCCAGTCATTCATTAAGATTAGGTTTGAAAAAGCTCCTTGCAGGACCGCCGAATGGTTGTGAACCAATATAATATGTGGCCGCCATATGTAGTACTTATATGTAGAAGAATTTTTCTCGAGAAAAAATAGTAATTAGTTTCAAATATTTATATTATTATATTAATATTCCTTACTCATGGTTTCTTTAAAGAATAGCATGGAAAGTTTTGGAATGCGCTCTTTTGTGTAAAATTGCAGTCAAGTGGTTTGTGTATTTAGTAAACATTCGCAGAATAAGGCATATTTGTACGAAATTTCTGTACGAAGTGGATTGTGTATTTGATAAAAAAACACATCATTGAAGGGTGAATATAAACAGCTTATATATTATATTATAATACTTTAAACAAAATAAATATACACCAAAGTAGTTTAAATTGAAGCCGTTTTTAGATAAAACTGTTATCACTGATAAAATTTTCGAGGACCCACGACAAAGTTATGTATAAAATATTTTTATTAAAATTGGGCGATAATTATATACAAGTTCTTAATACAATATGTATATACTTATACTTATAGTTTAGAGAGTTAGACTGTGGTAGAGATATAATCTGTTACACAATTCAATTTCCTATCGCACTCGCTTAGTTTGAAATACAAAATGGTTGAAAAGTTAATAAACTTAGTATTATTATTCAAAATAGCCTCCCTCATCGTCAATACAGTTATACTACCGACCGTTCAATAATTTTATATCATCTCTGTAATGGTTTTCCAGAAACTGTGCACAATACTACTTCATGACTGTATGGAGCTTTCCACGAAAGTATTACTTCAAATTTTTGAATAGGTAAAAGGAAAAGGGAGCTAGATCTGGTGAATACAGCGGGTATTGAATGAATTCTTATCCAGGTCTTATGCATAGTTAGTTAGTTAGTTGTGGTGGAGGGAGGACGAATCCTCCTCAAATAGCTAAGGATGAAAGCCGTTTCGAGTCCACAAAAACCTCGTAATAGTGGGTAGTAGATAGAGGGCCAAACTAGAACCAACCAGAGGCATTAACAAAGGCAAGAATGTGGCTAATGCTGATGCTGGAGATATCGCTAAGTGAGTTGAAGAAAGGGGCCCCTAGAAACTTAAACCTAGTTCTGGCCAGACCTGGACAAAAACACATCAGGTGTTCTGGTGTCATATCTTCAAGTATTGGTAGACACGCACTACATGAGGTACCACAGGAAAGGCCAAGTCTGGCTCCATGCCGTCCTATGGACCAGTGACCCGTAAAGATAGATACTAGCTTGGAAACCTCAGATTTGTTTCTACAGATTAAGTCAGAGGTTCTATATTTGGAATAAATGGGCCAAGTAGCCCTTGACCTGGCTGCTGAGACAGTAAGGGTCCACTCACTATTTGCCTGTCGCAAAAAATGGTCACAAATCAGCCTACGCCCGTAGCTGACAGGGGCAGGGATCGAAATAGGGGTAGGTCTTATGCATAGTTATAAAACAACAAACAAAATCGGTTTTATTCTACTCAAAACGGTGTATTCTTTTTTACAGTAGGTGTAAAGCATCAAAAGCCACCGTGTGGCTTTTAACACACTAAAACCATCTCTCAGGAATGCACAAAGTATAGATTTCGAGCAGGGGACCATGCAGGTCTGAGACTGGGAACTCATTCCAGAATACAGGAAAAGAAATTAAATAGATGATCAAAAGGCTTAACATTTAAGAAGTAAATATATCTAAGTCATGACGAAAAATTGTGCATGGGTTTAAAGGTGGGTTGTAAATTAAGTTAGAACAACTAGCTTAAATGAATTATGTATTTAAAACTAAACTTAATATAGGGAGTTACTGTAACCACCATTATATAACGGGACTATAGTGGAGGAATGGGCAATATCGTCTAAATGGAAGGCTAGGAACTGGGAAGGCTTGTGCCTCATAGAGAGTAGTAGATCAGAGGGCAGGTGATCAGTGCGCAGTATGTCGAGTGGAATGTTGTGACACCTTAAAACACCCAAAAAGTTATCTAACGCACGATATTGGTAGCATTATACACAAAAGAATTGGGGTGGT